ATCTGTCAGAAGCCGAAAACACTGGATGTACTCCTGGCACAATTTTTGTTTGAAGGACCAGGCTATGTGTGAAAACACTTAGAACCTTTCTGAAAAGTCTAAACATGTAAGGTGTTATTTTAGACTTTTTATCTTTGAGTACTTCCTAAGAAGGATACTGACTGCTTGAGAGCAGTTAGAGGATCACCACGGCCAGAAACTTCCCATTACCTGGGCAATGAACTGGATGATTTTCACAAAGATGTTCAGAGGCATATCCCTGGGCACCACACCTCGGGACCCTTTGGGGAAAAGTGTTGTGATGATGGTTATAAGTCGGCTGAAAGATAAGGGGGAAAAGAGAAAACAAGCAAGATTGGCTGAGCTCCAGTTCTTTAAGGGAAAATGGCAGATGTTTCATTTATCCAAGTATCAGAGAGAATTCAGAAAAAGAAAACAAACCACCTCACTCCTTTCCATTAGCATAATTACTCTATGAAAAGTTTTTATGGAACACCAAGAGCGGTTGGAAAACTGTAGCTGTTTCCTTTGTTAAAGTGACCAGTGCAACCCTGGAAGTGGAATTTGTTGATTGTTGGAGAGGAAGTAATTTTTGTGATGGGTGCTGAGCCAATGACTAAGGAAAGCCTGAATATATTCCTTAGGACTTAGATCTTTTAGAAACTGTCAGCTGTGAACAGCTTCTAGCAGGGTTAGCATGGGCAGCAATGAAGGAAAACACCCTCCATAGTGGATGGGTGATGTGGTTACCACAAGTCAACTCCTTACCTCTGAGTAGCTGTGTTGCTTTCACATTTAATTCGAATCATGTAAACCCAAAGTAATCTGTAAAGAGATTCCAGTGCAACTCGAGCCATCTTGGGGTCTTTATTCTACAACAAAAACCAAGAAGTAAGATTACAGATAGAATGGTGATATCTAGAGATGATTCTTCTCTGAATGCCTGGAAATAGCAGGCCCTAGGCGGGTGGCAGGCACATTGCATCATCTGGGACTTATAGGGTATTTGTCTCTTGATGCTCATGGATAAATAAACCATGAGGAAGAATCCAAATGGCCATGGCGGTGGGACAGAGTAATTCCTGGGGAAGCCATGTCATTCTTTCCTTTGTCAAGGTGAGTCCTAAAGAGATTGCCTTCTCCCTCCAGCCCTAGGGAATCCCAATCCTATAGCACTAGTCTATTCTTTCCATTGTAGATTATGTCATTCTAAACACTGTTATTCCTTTGATTTCCCAACCTCTCCTTCCCACTCCCATCCCATCTGATTACCCTCCAATACATAATGATACTAATGTGTACTAGGTACTGTGCTAGAACCTGGGATATGGACAGAAAAGATAATCCTTTCCCTTAAGATGTTCACAATCCATGGGGGAGGGGAGACAGACAATAAACAGGCAACTCTAAGACAGGATGAGAAACTGGTAGGGACAGGAGCCAGTGGATGGGAGGAAGGTCAACCTATTGCAAACTTGAGCAATAAGGTAAGGGAAAGTTTCTATGAGAAGATAAGAACTCATATGAACTTTAAATCCATTCATGTACTCATTCATTCATTCAACAAACATTTGAGTGGCTATGCTGGGCCTGCCATGGTGCGTGGTCCTAGAAACTTGGAAAGGTGTAAGCAAATGGTGGGAGGGGGAACATCTACAGCCAGAGGCAACAGCACATGGAAGCTGAGAGCTGGTGGAGAGGGGTCTTGTTTTGGAGCCTGGGACTCATTTGAATGTCAGGGAAGGGCCAGTGTGGGGCCAGGTAAAGGTGCAGTGGCTGGTGAGCCTGGAGAGGAAGGGGCCACATGAGGGACTTCCCATGACGAGACCAGGCTTCTCATGATGGTGACAGGGAGCCACTGAGCTTGGAAAGAGCACGTTGAAAGTCTGGTGCCTGCAGTGTGTGCAACGCAGCAGATTCAGGGAGACCAGCTGTGGGCATCTAGGTCACAATAAGAAACTGGCCAGAGAGGAGGGCATGGGTTTTGTCATCCAGAAGACATCACCCTCATTCCTTGCTTCTGACTCTCACTCCACACTTTCATCCAATAGTGTAGATTTTATCTACAAAATGTCTCTTGAATTTGACATCCGATCCATTCGCACTTTCTCTGCTGCAGTTCAGGCTTGCAGCACTGTCATCTAGGTGGCTGCAGTGACCTCCCAACAGTCTTCCTCAGTCAGTTCCCTCCCCACTGTCCTATCTTATGCCAGAAATCACGGATTGGGTGGTTCCCTGATGCCTGTGGGATCAAGTTACCATTTCTTGGCATGGCATACCTGACCAGTCAATAGCTGGCTCCCATCCTGCTATTCTCCCATGAGCTCCATAAACTCCAGCTAGGCCATGCTCATTCCATTTCCGTGTTAGGAGTGTCCTCCACCCCATGTCCCCATCCCTGAATCTTTCTTTTTTCCCAGGAGAACCCTACTTCTTTTTACAGGGCATTTGGATGTCCTCTCCTTTGTGCAGCTTTCACTGTTACTCCCTGATGTCCTGAATCCCATCCCATGGAAATGAATTCTTCCCTCCTGAGTGTCCCTTGTCCCTCACACATACCTCTAGCACAGCCTTCAGCTCTCTATATATGGGGTTTTGTTTACACATCCGCTCCTACATAAATAGTGGGTTCTCTAAAAGGAAGGGGCAATATTTATCCCCGGTATCTATCAGAATTCCTGCCATTCTTTAGGGGATCAGTAAATGTTTGCTAACCAGTCTTCCAATATCAGTCTTAAAGTCTTTTGCCTTTATATCATTTCATTTTCCCTACTCGTTTATTTTGTCATAAACAAAATATTTGTCAAACAGTTCTACCTGTTTTCTTCTTAGTGTAGATAGTTTGGGGACTAACTTTTGTAGAATTCACAATTGCTTAGAAATTATCAGGGATAGAGTTTACCTTTAAACTGTTTATGGAATAAAGATGAGCCACATAAATTCTAAGGGAAAGACTATAGTGAGAAGTTTTTAGGTTTAGGGAAGATAGACTTCTTATGTCTATAGTCTAAAAACAATTTTTCAGTGTGACAATTTTTCTAAAATCTAAATTTTCATATGCATTTAGGTCTATTTCTGGATTTTTTTTTGTTCTATTATTTCTGTCTATTCAAGCACCAATACCATATCATTTTATTTTATTTATTTATTTTATTTATTTTTTTTTGAGACAGAGTCTCACTTGCTGCCCAGGCTAGAGTGAGTGCCGTGGCGTCAGCCTAGCTCACAGCAACCTCCAACTCCTGGGCTCAAGCGATCCTCCTGCCTCAGCCTCCCGAGTAGCTGGGACTACAGGCATGCGCCACCATGCCCGGCTAATTTTTTCTATTTTTTTTTTCTTTTTCCAGTTTAATATGTGCTGTATAATTTTTTCTATATATATTAGTTGGCCAATTAATTTCTTTCTATTTATAGTAGAGACGAGGTCTCGCTCTTGCTCAGGCTGGTTTCGAACTCCTGACCTTGAGCAATCCGCCCGTCTCGGCCTCCCAGAGAGCTAGGATTACAGGCGTGAGCCACCACGCCCGGCCTAATACCATATCATTTTAATTATTGAAGTTTTATAATGTTCTCCAATATCTACTATTCCTACTTTCTACTGTCCATTGCTCTTTAATCTTTTTTTATTTTTAGACTTTTCCTAGATATCTTGAATGTTTATTCTTCCAAATAAACTTTATAACTATTTGTTTAGCTCCAGGAAAAAAAATCCTGGCATTTTAGAAGCACCTATTTATATATAAAGGTTTATTTATTTATTTTTGCCTGTTAATATAACAGGTATAATATAATTTGTTCAAATGTTTTGATTACTTAAAGGGACTTGAAACTAGTAAAGTTGCATTTAAAATATTCTGTCATTCAAAAATTCCAGGAACTGTGACTACTCTTCCTCTAATTGCTCTAAATGAGCAAATAACTATGATGTGTTTATATGGTGGTTAAAGGCAGATTCCACACACAGATCTTGTCTGTGAAATGCAGAGGATAATCCTCCCTCCCTCCTAGGAGTGTCAGGAGAGTTAAATGAGTTAACGCACATAGGGTATTTGGCATTGTACCTGCCTGTAGTATTATTATGTATAAGGCACCAGAGATCCAGCAGCAAACAAGGGAAATGTAGTCTCTACCTTTAGGGAGCTTCTATTTTTAGCAGAAATGTCTCCTCATTTGTGAATTTCCCCTTTGAGAATATATAACAGTGTTTTAGATTTGCCTAGTGTATCGTCTGAAATTCTCTGAAATACATTATCTCACACTGCAAAGCATGACGAGGAAGGGCACGTATCATCTCAATTCCTCTGTGGACCTTAGCTGAGCTCTCCAGTCTAAATGACTCATAACAGTGACTTCTGTTTTAACTTCAACTTCTTGTAAACATGTTTTGCTGTACCTCCCACCCACCTTTTTTGGTGCATCTTATTGTGACTGGTGTTCTTTTACTCTTAAGAATATATTTGAGATGGTACGTTTTTGCTTCCACAAAGACTGGAGAGCAAAGTGATTGACTTAGGTTTTATTTTGTTTTGCCCATGGATTATGCACTGCTAATTGCTTTTAGCATTTCGAGATGATAGCATGATCATTGCAATTGAGTCCTAAACCAATTCCCTGGCCTCTCTTCCACTGTCTGCATAGTCAAATGATGTTCTTAACATACAAACATGATTGTTTACTTCCCTGCATTTAAAGTCCTTAAGTGGCTTCTAATCATCTACTGGACAATGTCCAAATTTCATAATGTGGCACATGAGGGGCCTATTGTGACCTAAGTCTCCCCATACCACCTCCCCCGTAGGTGCAGCTCATACTGCAACATCCCCTCTGCAATTCCCTGCATGCCTGGAATGCCTTCCTACTTTTGTTCTACTTGGAAAACTTAGGTCTGTTTAGGTGTCATTCTCTCTTATTCTGTTCCCCTGCTCCTCCTCTCCTTCCCCATCCTCCAGAGAGGCCACCAAGTACCCCTGCTCTCTGTTTCCTAAAATGCTATCCTAGCCCTTTACTCACATGTTTCCTACCAGATTGTGAGCTTCAGGCTTTTGGTTTGTTTAGCTTTGTGTCCTCAATGACTGCCATACACAGGTTAAATATTAAAAAAAAAGATTAAAAATTAGAAAACAAAAATAGTAAATATTAAAAAACAAAAACAAACTGAGTAGTAGCTGAACAACTTGATGCATAAACAAGATTTCTTTATACAGATCCTATATAAAAGGCAAATCTTGGTATGTAGCTGAAGCTAATCTTCATGATAATATCATGAAGATTAGCTTTACTATCATGATAGTAATAAGTATCTCGCACTTGTATGGCACTTTGGTATTTCAAAAGTGCCTCCACATAATGTGATATCAACTAAAGGATTTTATAATGGAGGGAAGCCTAATGAATTGCCCAGAGTCATGAGGCCAGTAAGTGACAGCTGGGATAGGAACTGATTTCTGCTCTAATAAGTATTGTTCTCTCAGGAATTAGAATGTATGTATTATATCAGGCATTGTTATCAATGCTGTACATATATTAACTCATTAATTATTATAACATTATAGATACTGTTATTGTTCTCATTTTACAGATGAGGAAAATAACCTACCTGAGGCACAGAGAAGTTGAATAACTTGCCCAAGGTCACACAGGTAATAAATGACAGTGCTAGAATCTGAACCTTGGCAATCTGGCCTCAGTGTCTTCAAAGCATTAATTTTCCATTTCAGCTTAATAATATACAAAGGCTGCTCACATATGCTACTGGGGCCTTCTCACTTGTCTTTGTATTCCCTTGGCAGCTAACATAATAGGTGCTTGATACATATTTTCAGGATATTGGCATTTTTAGTATATGTCTCTAACCACTGAATTCTTTGTCAAAGATCTCCGCTTCAAGATCAAAAGACCAATCTACATCTCCCTTAATTAATTAACAATTTATTTATATATGTATTATGAGTCTGAGGTTCATTGATATAATTGTTCAAGAAACTAGTGGGTTTCAGAGCAAATCTCTGGACTTACTGCATCTCAACTCTGTGCCAGTCACTGACCTCATGGGACATGTCAGCCTGAACAACAACATGCCTCTACGGTCTTTAAAATTTGCTTGTAATTTAGTTAAAATGATTCAGAGTTAATAGTGACAAACATGAACTATTGAACTCACTGATAAGTTGGCTAGTGATAGGATCATTGGTACAGACCAATATTTCCCAAGATCTATCAGCTGACCATTTGTATCAAGTCATCTGCAATGCTTGTGTACACACAGTTTCCCGGGCTGCACCTCAGACATTTTGAACTAGAACCTCTGGAGGTGGGTTTCAAGAAGTTGCATTTAAAACAGGCTTCCCTAGAGATTCCTGTGCATGGTAAGGTAAAGACATTGACATAGATGGATAAAGAATTTTAGTAATCTACTGATCTTGTTATATTCAAATAATTTCTAGTTTTCTTTTCCATTTCAATTAAAGTCATTTAAGTAAATCTATTTCTTTCTGTTATAATTCTTTGCATATCTTTTTGACATTTCTTTTTGACACTTGAATCAATTTACTTTGATTATAATTTACCCCTTTAGCTGTGTATTATCTAAATAACACAGTGCTACAGTTTAGGATAACATCTAAAATTATCAGATCAACAATTTATGGAGATTATTTTCCTCTTGAATGGTTGGATAAGTAAACCATTCATGAAAAATTATACACTTGTCATCTGATCACTAATTTTTAGGCCTAGTTTATGTGTATTATTAGAATTTATAAATTCCACTTTCAATGTGTCTTTATTTTGATAGATCAGAAATACTACTAAGAGCTTTTCTCTTCCTAGCACTCTGGGAGGCTGAGGCAGGAGGATCGCTTGAGCCCAAGAATTTGAGGTTGCAGTGAGCTGTAAAGACACCACTGCATTCTAGCCAGGGTGACAGAGTAAGACTCTGTCTCAAAAAAAAAACAACAGGACTTTCTCAAGGTTATGGAATGAGGTTAATAGTAAATCAGAATAAGTACATCTTGAAAATTAGTGCTTCTAATATTATATATATATCTTTTTTGAGACAAGGTCTTGCTCTGTCATGCAGGCTGCAGCCTAGAACTCCTGCCTTAGCCTCCAGAGTAGCTGGGACTAGAGGTGTGTGCCTCCACATCCAGCTAATTTTTTAATTTTTTTTGTAGAAATGAGCTCTTACTATGTTGCCCAGGCTGGTCTTGAACACTTGCCTCAAGCAATCCTCCTGCCTCAGCCTCCCAAGGTGCTGGAATTATAGGCATGAGCTACCATGCCCAGTCTACTATACCATTTAAATTTGGTGTTTATAGAGAGAATAGTAGTCATTTTAAAATAAATGATGCCATACATTTTAATGCAGTTAGGCAATGATTGTGGGATTGTGAAATCCTTAATTATATTACTCAACACCTCCACTTATAAAATAAAAATATCATTAATAATCTTACTATTATTACATGAAAAGTTAAAAAAAAGGGGGGCTCCTTAAACTCATCGTGATTATCACATACAACTATGTAAGTATGGAAGACAAGTTTTATCAACTATATTTATGGCAACTACACTTGCTTTGAGATTCTTACTGGAAATCAAAATACCATGCTTGTACTTCCATTCCCTGCCCTCCTTGAGTGCGTCATTCTCTGTCTTAATATACTATTTGATCTTCTTTAGAGCAGCTATCACTACCTGAAGTTTTTTTCCTCATGTATTTATCTACTTGCTTACCGTCTGTCTCCTCCCCTAAATTATAAGTTCCAAGTGACCAGGGAGTGTTAGTGCCTTACACATCACTTATTCCAAGCACCGGGAACTGTGCCTGGTTGACAACTTGTAAAGAATTATTGACCAGCTGATCAACTGAATACATAAATGTATTCAAGCCCTAGCACAGTGGTGACTGAGACGAAAGGAGAATCCTTTCTAATTCTGTATTTTGGTTACTCCAAGTGTAAAAATAGGCTGTATCATGCATAACCTTCAGATGAAATATTGTTATTTGAGTAAAATTTTTAGAAAAACATAAATAACATCATGAAAGCACAGGGAAAGCTCCATGTTACCTGTGGTGCTGCCATGACACCCATGACAATGTAAATAAAGCCCCTGTCACTCACCTGGCTCCAGTAAATGAGCACGGCTACTGTTGTTACTAATCATATACTAAATTTTTCTCTTAACCTTTGAGGTTTCTTTTTTTGGTTGTGTTTTGTTTTTTATAATCTGGGCTGCACTTGTATATTGTATTCATTTTTTAAAAAGATAAGACATTTAAAAAATTCTCCTGATTACATCCATTTCGAAGGATAATAAACTAATACATAGTTATTATGAACATGATAAGTATTATATTTTAAAAGTACCGTTAAATCAAGTTCTCAAAGCATATTTCCTTTTGTCAGAGTTAGGTGTGGTATGACAAATGTGAAGGGAATGTATCACTTTTTATAGCTCAAAATATTCAGATTCTGCCATAAAACATACAGAAGAAAAAACTATTGGTCACCAAGGACCATGAATTCCTGAAAGATGTGCATATCTTGGTGAGAAGATACTATACATTTCTCATGACTTTACAATGGCATATTGCTAATACATGGGTGACTAAGTTAATGAAGTATAAATATTAAAGAATTCAAGTCTGTGCTCCCCAAGCAACCTGATTCTGACAGACTGACACTGAGGACAAACCAGGGCACTGACATGGAGTGAGCTTTGGATCCGAGGGCTTGTTTACTTTGAAAGCGGGCAGTTTTTCATGCTCACACACACTTCTGTTCTGCTCCTGCCACTCCACCCTCCTGACAGCTCACCTCTGCTGAATACATCAAAGGTGGCTTCCAAAGGTCAGCATGTAAGATTCAGACACTGGGATCATTATTTGGAAGCATCTGGGGGGGGGGCAGTGGAGGTGAGAAGGGAAGGCAGGTTGCAGGAAGGTGTGTGGGGGAAGGGTTGGTTTAGTGGTCCCTTATGAAATGATAAGGTCAGTTCTAAATCCCATAAAATACTGAAACTATTCCAGACAAAGTATACTTCTGAAGCCGTGCTAGTTTTTTTCCTCAGGTGTTTCTACCTTATTAAGGACTCAGGAGGAGGTTTGGAAAGTGTTCTGCATATTAATGACATTTTAAAATGGTCCCATTCAAATCCCTACTGGGTTTAGTTCTAAATATACGTGATACAATTTTATTCCACTTGTAACTCATCAAGGATCTTTTTAATATCTTTTAGCCTTGGGGTAGTGAATTCCAATAGTTTATTACCCATAAAGTAAAATATCATTGCCTTTACTTTGCCTAATAGCTACCTCTTTCATGATTCATGGGGTCTGTGACCTCTACAAATCTCACAGGTATCTCTCTACTCCAAACATTCGCATCCCTCACTGTCTGCAGTGTGCATGTTGAAACTTCATTACATATTCCCCAATGAAATCCTAAGCTCTTCAAGGACAGGGACTCTATTCTACATTTAGTTTTTATAGAGCTGCCTTCCCCCATCCTTCCCACTGCCAGCATCTGCCCTGGCACCTCACACCAACATAAATCCTTGCTGAATTGAACTGAATTCTGGAATGTGGTTCCAGGTTCAGTCTCTCTACAGGATTGACTCTACTTACTCCTTCTGATCTTACTGCCTCTCTCTTTTAGAAATTCTAATGCCTGAAATGTTTGCACAGGGAAATACTGTCAGTGCCCAGACCTGCTTCTCTAGGGGGCTGTTGGTAACCCTCTTGTTAAGTCTAGCTGGTAGGCTCTGACCAGAGCTGTAAACAGTATTCTAACTTTGAAGCAAATAAGTTCCAAAGTAAGATGCTCTGTTATGTTTCAAAAACAACTTTGGACAAAAACATTTTGGCCTTTTTGACTATAGCAATAAATTGTCATGCAAAATATTATTTTAATTCTAACCAAAAATTCATCAGATACATTAAACATAAAATATATAGAAAATGACACTAACAGCATTCTTAAGCATTTCCCTTTTTGTTTTTAAACAAAACGAGCATTTTCTATGTGTATAAAATGTAAAAGAGAAAAACCACACTGAACTGGAACTAATAATTGGATAACTTAAAAGTATAAGAAAAATGACACTTGGCTGCATGTTAAGAGTTGTATGGCAGATGGATAAATTCTCAAATAAAACGACTGAAGGTGGCCCTTACACAACAGTTGATAACCTTGAAAAGTATTTCATTTCTTTTGAGTACTTAAAAGCTTACTTCTCTATCCACTGCTATTATATTTCACTGCCAATTTGAAGAAAATGAATGATTCTAATTAGTGTTTCACAATCATCTTTTAGAGCCAGTTCATAGTTGGTGCTTAAAGCAGTTCTAATGCAGATTATTGTGTAATTGTGTTAATGCAAAATAATATAATTAATCCTAACCACTTCACCAAATTAAAGTGTTGTAGAAAAAATAAAACAAGGCAACATGTGTAGGCACATACAAGATTTTTAACTAATTATATTTTTAAAAATTCCAAAGCAGCAAACATCAAATGTATAAAAGAAATTGAACCACATATTTGGACACAACTGGGAACAAGTATGAAAAATACCTCTTATTTGCACTTATATTAGGAATAGTTTTCATTTTGTTGTCTTTTACCAATAGGCCACTAAAACTTAAAATATGTTTACCACTTTGTATTTATAAAGCCAATTTTAAAGGTAATCATTACAGTTGTTTTAACTGCATGCTCAGCAGTCCCAGGGACCATAACATTACTCCTCAAGTTACCCAGACCCTGTGCCGTCTACCTGCAGAGCTGTGAGTGCGCAGGACTGATGGACTGCCATGCGGCTAGAATACCTCCAAATAATCACAAATGACAGTGACAGGAAACAAATGTTCTCTGTTACTAGGTCAATCCTTCTACAGAATGGAGCTTCCCCCCAACCCCCAAATATTTTCCTAGACTGGAAGGGAGACAGGAAGGATGGAGTAGGTATAGGTGATTTTCTGAAATCAATTCACATGCTTCTATCAGCTGAGTGTTGCCCTTATTTTATTATTAAATCATTTAGATAAAATGTGACAATAGATGCATGCAAAGGAGCATTTAATTCTACCTTTAAAGTGATCCTTGTTAGGAAAGATTTATTTTCCCCCAATCTGAAGTGATTTCTCTTATCCCTAGTCACATTCTAAAACTGGCTATATTACCTAAGAACCCTTATTAAAATTTCTTTCATTATTCCAATAGCATAGGATAATCCCCCCCTGCAAACATCAGGAATCACTCCCAGAAACATATAAACCAGCCTAAGAATTGCATGGTAAATTTTTATAAAATATTGTTTTTGAGCCAACAAATACTAACTTTAAGGTTAGATAAGCAGTTGTTGAGGAAGACGTGCCACCTGTTCAGGAACAGCTGCTTCTGACTGACACAGAGTAGGCAGGTCACCAGGGGGTACAAGGCCTGAGGAAAAAGAGATGGTCACAGGAATATTTTATATTTCAACAAACTAGGTAACACCATTCTCTGCACCCACTACCTCTGCAGCCGTGTGGGCCAGAAGAAACAGGACACTGCGTAGCACAGCAAGGCCCAATGGGCACAGGGTAAAGGTGAGCATTTTGTAAATGCTTTCTGATAATCCTGGGATATTATAATCTAGAAGTATGGATAGTGTATAATAATAAGCTCCATGTATAAGAATGTGGAAATCTGATTCACTGCTTTAGTCTTTACTTATGAATGTCAAAAACAAACTCACCATCTTAGATAACACTCTCTCAATCTCCGGAAACAAAAAAACAGGAAGACACATTAATTTTGCAAATGTTACTGGCTTTTTTGCTCATAAACATCTACTAGTTTGTCCCTGTCTTAGAGGTAGTTGTATATATTTTCTTTCGCACGCAACCTTCTTGTAATTAAGGAGGATTCCTAAAAGAAATGTTATTGCCTTGGTAAACTCTACCAAGACAAATTTAACCACAGGAGGAATTTGCTTACGACCAAATAAACAGAGGTGCTACTGTGCTTTTCCTGCCTAACTGGGCCAGTTTCCCACAGCAACTGGAGGAGACAGAACAGCTAATGGACAGCCACCCAAAAAAGGGACACACAGAACCCAGATAGCATACACCTTTATGGCTCACAAAAAACAAAGGCCAGTGAATATTTAAATAAAAATGTAACTGGCTCACTTATTTACTTGAATTAGCGAGAAACAGTTGCCACAGTGAGACTGAGTGCTCAATAGTTCATTCACTTTTTTCCCCCCCAAATTAACTTAGTTTTAAATGGACTTTGAACTACTGCTACCATCAAGTGCAACTCTAATGCCAATCAGAAATAAAAAAAAAAAAAATACATGCAGTTAGTCACAATGACCATGGAGTGTAGACAAGTTAGCAAATATGTCACCATCACCAGCAAAGCAACTCTGAGTATCTGCTCAGATCTTGGTGGGGATACCCATGCTTTGGAGACTAACATAGACCATGCCAGTAACCAGCCACACCAAAGCAACCTGCTTTCTCCAGACTTTCACAATTATAGTTGGTGTACCCCGTGCTGATTCATAAACCAGAGCTTTATCTACCACAGAGGGTAAAAGGTAGTGGTTATTTAAGACTTTCCTAGGCTGCTCTTCAAAGCCTTCCCAAGAATTGTTTTTCAGGCCTTCAGAGAAACTCTCCTATGGGCAACTATCTATTTCCCAACTTCCTTTGCTGCCTGGTTCAATTTTGATTCTGAGTATCAGGATAGGAATTAGCCCATGTAAGCTCCTGGGGATTGAGAAGAGAAATTGTTATTCCATATTATAAACTTCATTCTTCAGATTGGAAAAAATTCTCAGAAATAATATAAAAATCAAGTTAAGCCAATCTTAAATGAACACAGAATCCTTAGGATTAGAAGGGTCACCGGAGGTGACACAGTCTAATGCCATTATATGAATGTGACTTAGTCATGTTCAATACTATGTGCAAACTACAAAATTTTAAATACTACCTCTTTTTGAGGGAGCTATAAGTAATTCTGTTTATGGAGTCCTTATGACCCTCAAAAAGAATCCTGACTAGGAATTTAGTCTCTGCAGTTCTACTTGTGTTTTGGATTTTGTCGTAGTTACTAACCAAGGAATGCTTCTTTCGAGAAGAAAGTTCCAACGTGGTGTCATACAGGCTTTCCACAAAATTTCTAAGGCAGGGAACATTTACTTCATTTTTAACAGCCTGAAATAGAGATGTATGTGAATATTATACACATGAAATTGTTGATGCTGTAATCCAATTTGAAGAAGATTTTAGAAATGAAAATGTAACTCACGGCAGCAACTGGAACAAGGATTTCAACAAAAAGCCCAGCCAAGGCATGCTTGATATCTTTGTCTTTGACCTCCAGGAAGTAGTGTGCACATTCCTAGGAAGTAGAAACAGAATATAGGGAGGGAGAGTAGATTGAAATGTACACATAAAATACACTGAAAGAAATTTCAGTAAATAGATCTTAATTCAGTCATACATGTCAACATAGCATATTCTATAATCTATTAAAAATCACTAGATTCAAACACTTATATTGGAATCTAAATGTTTGCAATGGCTTCAATGACATTTTGCAAGGGTTCCCCCCCACACACTCTTCTCCTACTTCTATTTCAAATCACTATTCTGAAAGCACAAAGCATTGCTAACCAGCAAGCACACATTTATCCACTGAATTACTGATTAATTCATTCAGGCATTCACTTTCAATAAATTTCTATTGATTACTTACTGTGTGGGGGGCCCTGGGCCCTTGGTTAGCCCACAAACACAGATGCCGAGGGAAGGTAAACATGGGAAGAGAGGCAGAGGACATTAAACTTATTTTAGGCCCCATGCCTGATAGCCTTGGGCACAGAGCTGTTTACTTGTTCGCCCTGACATTTTAGGTGTGTTTATTATTCAGGGAGTTTCATAAGCAAGTCTGGAATGTTTCCCTTCCCCGCCTCAGACAAGGAAGCTTTTGGAATAGTTCCTCAAGCGAGGATGTCTTTGCCTGTGGACGATAGTCCATGTAAGGGTATTTTTAGTGGCCCAGGGACTCATTCTGTAGTTGGCCTGCCCAGAATTCTGCTGGCCCCTGTTCCCTTCTTCCTGGCCTTCTGAGTAGTAACTTACCGTGGTCTATATCAGGTACTGTTTTCATTCAAGAGTCCAAGGCTACATGCATTTGATGACACATTAACAGCTATATTAGCTATAACCCTTTATTTTCAGTTACGATTGGGAAGATTGCCAAAAATAGTTCCCAAAGTCCTTAGTCTACCAATTTCATATTAAGACCTCAGCCCAAGATGGGAAACAGCTGCACGGGGAGTCATCGAGGCAGTTTTCCTACACAGAATGGCACTTTACAGTTCTCGGATAGTGGCCCTTTTCCTGTATTATTGTGCATATGTATGAAAATATTCTCAGTCTTTAAGTACATAGATACATGAATTATTAATACGACAGTGGAATAAAAATAGAATTGTCCCCTTCTCACTACTGCACTTGACTAGTCTTAAAAAAAAAAAAAGAAGAGTTAGCAGTTACTGAGTGCTTATCCTGTGCTAAGAATCATCAGAACTGCTCTCTAAAGTCCACCACCTTGCAGATAAGGTGAGAGAGGCTAGCAGGGGTTAAGTGTAACTGGCCAAGGTCACAGAGCTGGTGAACGTAGGAGCATGAATTAAATAAAACCCAAGAAATTTGATACACAGCCTTTTTCTCTCTCTCTGTCTCTCTAACAGCTTTATTGAGATGTAATTCACATACCATGTAATCTACCCATTTAAAGTATACAAGTCACTGGCTTTTAGGATATTCATATTTGGGCATCCATGATGGCAGTCAAATTTAGAACTTTTTATTGACCACCAAAGAAACTTTGCGCCCCTTAGCAGTCATCTCCAATCTTCCTATTCACCCTCATCCCCAGCTCTAGGCAACTATTAATCTACATTCTGTCTCTGTGGATTTGCCCATTCTGGACATTTCATATAATGGAATGTCCATACATAATAATATAATATGTGACCTTTTGTGTCTGGCTTCTTTCACTTAGCACAATGTTTTCAAGCTTCAACCATGTTATGTCACGTATCAGCAGTTCATTACGTTTTATGGCTGAATAATATTCCATTGTATGGACATACCAGATTTTGTTTATCCATTCATCATTTTATAGATATTTAGGTTGTTTCCACTTTTTGGCTACTATGAATATCTGTGTTCAAGTTTTTGTGTGGACATATATTTTCATTTCTCTTGGGTATACACCTAGGAGTAGAATTGCTGGGTCATATGGTAATTTTAGGATTAGCTATGGGAGGAACTGCTGGACTGTTCCAAAGTGGCTATGCCATTTTACATTCATACCAGCAGTGCATGGGAGTTCCAAATTCTCTACATCCTTACCCATACTTCTCGTTATCTGTCTTTGTGATTGTAGCTATCCCTATGGGTGTAAAATGTGATAGCCTATATTCATAATACAAACATCTAAATTCTCTAGTAAGATCATCACCAAATTTAATTCACAGCAGCATGAGATAAATCCCTTCAGATGCACAAGTTTTGTAAATTCTAAGAGCTGCACATTCTGCTAAATCCTCATTAGCAACAATTCTTTTGCTATAGACCACGATGAATGCTATAAATGTCAAACCTGTATAGTTTGGTTGACTTTTTAAAAATTATGATGCCTTTTAATATTATGAATAACAGATTTCTTTCCTTATTATTTAAAGTTCTCATGCCTGCGAATGTTAATGTAGCTGATCTGATGCTATCCATTTTAAAAAGTGAAACAAATCAGCTATATTTTATTCAGAGAACAATATGTACCAGTGGGTGAAAGAGAAAAATACCAACAAATAAGAAATTCCAATGCACACTCTATTCCAAAGATGATATGAAAGATTAAAAATGAAATTGTGGGCCTACTACTGTACTATTTGGTTACAAAGCACTGCATGAATTATGGAAGGTAGGATGTCTTTCTGTATTGATGAGTAAATGGGTTTTCATATTCCAGATCCATCATTTTGAGGAAGGGAATTGCTTGATAGCCCCTTAGCTTTCCTGCCCAAGAAGTTACCTGCATGAACTGAAGAGAGGCCTCAAAATCCTCCACTGGATACATCTTAATTCGAAAGAATTTCATCCCCATTATCAAGCTGATAATGCTTTGAACCACATATGGGCTCTGCTCTTTGTGCCGTAATTCTTTCAGCTCTGCCATAAATTTCTTCTTTACAGCAGGGAATCTAAGGAGAAAACATAAGTGATTTATCAAATAGTGGGCAGGAAAGTCACTGCAGTGAAGGTCTCCAGCTCCCAGGAGTGATCGTGCACAGTGACCAGAGCCCCTCCAATCAGTTCAAGTACAATGGCCGTCATTTTTTAAGGGTTTGATGTTTGGGATTTGGCAAACAATCCGATTTTCGTATTTTCCTCTCTTATTTTATAAGATGCTCAAAGTCCCCTTCAGGCTAGGGAGAATTAGGGTTAGTCAGACCCTCTCAAAATGGTCTAGCTCTTAAATTGAGCATGACAAAAAGCCCTATTTCCCCAGGTTTAGCCACTTCCAACATAGCTGCAGACCTTGAGGGACTGAAGTATCAAATTATGAGCAATAACATATGAGGTCAGCAATTTCTGATAGTGACAGCAAATGATTTTTGGATTTGTATTCCAAATAATGTCAAGAAATAGTCCTACATCCATTTCCAAAGTTTTATGTTGTTTCTTTTATAGTTTTAGGTTAACTATTATTGAAAAATATATTTTTAGGTTGAAAAAATCCAGTAATGGAAAAATTAAACTTATATCTAAAAGATAAAAATAAATGGGCTGTCCATTACATGCATGGGATTTTTTGATCTAGTAAATGCAAAGCAAATAAACAAGACACAGTCCCTATCATCAAGGAACTTAAAGTATTTATAATTTTGAAAGTAAAATAATACTAATTATAACAGCAATAATATTATTATACAGGATTAAAAAAGAATAGCTCTTAAGGCTAAGATAGAAAGTAATAGCAGATCTTCAAAGTATCTATGGGTAAAGGAACGTACACATAAAAATTATTTAAACTTCTGAGATGGCTAGTTTAAAAACAATCCTCTCTCCCACCAAACATCCGAAGGAAAACTGTCTAAGATTCATTGTACTTTGTGTTCTGAGATGTTAGCCTGAGGTTCCATGAAAAATTAGAAGAAATGCATACCATTAGAAAGGGTAATCATGATAATAAAAATTAAAGGTGAATAGAAACTCAGAAGTTTAGAACAACTCTTGACATTTCACAGTAGAAATTTTAGAACAGATACTGTAGGCAGCAAACATATAAACATTGTTTAGTCAAAAGGTAGCACAGGCCGGGTGTAGTGGCTCATGCCTGTAATCCTGGGAGGATGAGGGAGGAGGATCGCTTGAGTTCAGGAGTTTGAGAATAGCCTGTGCAAGAGCAAGACCTGTCTCTACTAAACGTAGAAAAAATTAACTGGGCATGGGGGCACACGCTTGTAGTCCTAGCTGCTTGAAAGGCTAAGGCAGGAAGATCGCTAGAGCCCAGGAGTTTGAGGTTGCTGTGAGCCAGGCTGACACCACTGCACTCCAGCCAAAATGACAGAGCAAGACTCTGTCAAAATAAAATAAAACAAAATAAAGATGGTACAAGGGGCTGGTGGTTGGCAAGTGGGGTGTGAAGATTCTCAAGTGCTGGCAATTTCTAGTTCTTGGCTTAGATGGGAGGTTATATGGTGTTTATTTTATAACAATTTGTTTAATTGTCTTATGCATTTTTCTTTAGGCTTGCTATGTGTATTTTTCAATAAAAAAGATGTTAAGATTTTATGCTCTATTTTTAGAGCAGAAAATATAAATAGCTTTAAGAAGATTTAAATATCTTATGAATGAAATATACCCTCACGGGTTATTAACATAGCTAAGAATATTTCAGGGTATATTCTTAATTTGTGGTGGTATTTTGTGGATTTCTAGAAAACACCCACTTTCAAGATAGCACCCTAACTGACCCCTTCTGACAGTTCTTAAATACTACTAAAATATGATAGAAAATACTAGTTTTGCATTTACCTTATAAGTAAAATCTCATGGAGATCAATTGCAAAATTATATATTAATTTTTAAGAATAGGAAATTCATAGATACTAAAATGCAAGCTTTATTAAAATTTACAAAAATCTATTTGGTATCAGATAACATCTATCTGAGATTTTACAACTATACTCAAACATTTTGGAATATAAATTCCAAACTTCAATGTCACCATTCTTTTCTATGTTTTAAAGAAAAAAACTGATGGCGAAGAAGATGATGATGATGACAGCAGCAAGTAGACATACAGCACTTACTGTATGCTAGCCATGCTTCAGTGCGCTTCACATAATAGCAACTCAATTAATCCTCACAACAACTCTACGCAGCATACTATTATAATGCCCTTTTTACAGTAGAGGAAATTGAGGCAGAGATTTAGCAACTTGACAAAGTTGCATAGCTGGTAAGTGGTGGAGCTGGAATTTGAAGCTAGCGTCTGGCTCTAGAGTTCCTGCTCTTAATCTCTATGCTAAGGGAACCAGTGGTTCTCAGAGTGTGGCCTCCGGGTCAGCAGCATCAGCATTGTCTGGGAACCTGTAGTAATGCACATCCTCTGGTCCTATCCTAGGCCCACTGGTGGGGCTCAATTGTGTGCCTCCCCCTTCCAAATTTGTATGTTGAAGTCTTAATATTCTGTAGATCAGAATGTGACTATTTTTGGAGATAGGGTCTTTAAAGAGATAATTAAGTTAAAAATGAGGCCATTAGGATGGGCCCTAATCCAATATGCCTGATGTCCTTATAAGAAGAGGAGATTAGCACACAGACACACACAGGTTCAAGACCATATGAAGACACAGGGAGAAGAAGGCCATCTACAAGCCAAGGAGGGGGGTGGGGCTCAACAGGATCAACCCTGCCCATACCTTGATCTTGGACTTCCAAACCTCCAGAACTGTGAGGAAATAAATTTCTGTTGTTCAAGCCACCCAGGCTGGGGTAATTTGTTACAGCACACTGCATTTTCACTTTACAAATGAAGAAACAGATTTGGAAGCTACCAGTGACAGAGAGGAGACTCAAACCCAGGTCTTCTCATGCAAATTCCAGAAATTTACACTACACCCCAACTGCCTTAGACAGTCATAACTGTGAAATGTGGTCCCTCCCCTGTCTAGAATAGCTTACAGTTCAGTTGGAAAGAGAAAACAGTGTAGCACTGACCATGAGCCATATGAATAACAGCAAAAATAATCCACTGTTAAAAATAACAGTAAAAAATAAAAATAATCCACTGTGTGTTAGCACCACTGGACTCTTTGCTTAGACCTTTTGACCTTCAGGGGGGTTGAATGACCCAGGTTACATCACTTTCTCATAGTTCACACTGCCTTTTGGGTGAGCAATGCATGTAAGGAGGCTCTAGGGCCTCGGAGAATGAAAGGGCTCTTTTCAGCTGGGTAATTAGAGAAGACTCCAGAGGGCACTTGAATGGGGTGCAGGGTGATCAGAGGGCTTTTGGAAGAGATGGATAAAGGGCAGGAGGCAGAAATGGCAGGGGGCAAGCAATGCAAGTGACACTTTCAGTCAAGATTATAAAAATGTAATAACTTCCAAACTAGATTTTTAAAAATTGTATTTTTATTCAAACTACTTCCAAACACTAGAAACCTATGGTTTTAATTTTGAAATGTGAGAGGTTAGAGGGAAAAATGTTATAGGTTAGAGTCATATAGTTTTAAGGATGGCACAATACTTAGGAAAGTTTGTTTTCCATTTTGAATCCATGATTAAAATGAGGAGATATGGAAAAAAAAGGACATTTATATAACTCACTATTTCAATATTCTCATGAGTTACTGGCTAAACATTTTGTAATTTCTAATTTAAAAATATATATGGCTATCTTTTACTTCTAAAAGTCCCAAAGGACATAAACATGTTATTTTGGCGTAAAAGTAATCCAAAAATCTATTTGCACTTAAAATATATCTTTCCTTAAAATGATTTTAGGGAAAAATAAATATTTCAATGACCTTTCCTTTAGTATTTACTATTCAGTACCATATTTAGTAAATATAGTAACTAAGTAATTAGTTTTTGGTATACTATAAAAATTCACATAAAAATAAATCTCTTCTTTAAAATGTATAGTACTTATTATAAAAGTGAGAGTATAAGAATTTATAGATAAAGATCATATGACATAAGAAAGAAGTTAAAAAAATCCATGAATCTCAGAAGCAGTCATCACTGTTTCAATAAACCTAACAGATTTTGACCAAAGCACTTTAAAAAGTTGAATTTTAACTTAATTTATTTTGAAAAAGTCAATACTATGTGTGAATATTACTTATTAGCAAAAAAGTTTCCTTTAATGATAGAATTTAAGCAGTATTACCACTAGACTATTAAGATAAAAATAAATAAAAATTCTGCTAAAACTCGAATTCCAAACTATCTACTAATAACTAGTCATAATGAGGAAACTATTTCATAAGCATTACCTTTGGGAACTAGATATACAACCTAAAATTAGAATTATTGCATTACTCAACTTTACTTAAAAAAAAAAAAGATAATCACACTATACCAGATAAGCATACATTCTTTTTGCCCACCATCTGGGAACAAAGGAGCATACTTTTCTAAAGCATTGATGAAGTAAATAAATTGATTAAATGGTCCTGGTGTATTTACGAGAAAAAAGTAATGTGATAACTTGTGGTATGACACTAGTTTGAGATCATACCATCTGTCAATCAAGGTTATCTACACATTGGCCGATTGAGAACATATCAAGGAGTACTAGAGTCTACGATTACTACAAGACCAGGCTGGTCAAGAGGTTCGCTAGTGACTAGAAAGTACTAGAGCATTGTCCAAACTGAGGCATTTCTTACACCCTACTATTGCAGAATTGGGACAAATATTGGCATCATGAAAATTTAAAAAAGCCACTGTTGGCATGCAAACACTGGCTGGGGGGACCATAAATCTAACCTAAGATGAAAATTCCTACAGCCTTAGGTTACTGTTTAGTTATGACAATATTTCTCAACTCATTCACAACCAACTCAGAAACATATAGCTAAGGAAGGTCATTTGACGATAACCAGTATTGTCATGCATAATTCACAAAAACTAAGAAAAACACAAAAGGCCATCTTTGGCATATTAAACTTTCCAAATGGTAGCATAAGAGAATTATGCTGGGATAATTACAAAGAAATTACAAAAGAATATGTGGAGATTTTCAGGGTTTGACAAATCAGCAAATGTACATATTAATACCTCATTTTTTCTAATCTTTTATAGGAATGAGGTAGATACACATGAATTAATTTGCCAGATAATTGCAGCTTTTTCATTCAAAATGTCAATACCTTGATTACTCAATTGCAATGGAAATCTCTCCAAAATGCATTATATCTTTTTTCATAAGGACTCATGAACCGCAATTATTTTAATAGGCTCTCATACAAGTACAATGCAAAATGCAAAATGGCCTCATGCAAAATGGCCCAGATAACTCTATTACTTAATTCTTAGGTATGCTTTGGCCAGTTTCTTTCCTCTCTGATGCCTTCAGGTTTTGAGCTTGATATTTCTCAATGGCGTCAGTGTATCATCCTCTAGACAGGCGTCCTCAAACTATGGCCTGCAGGCCACATGCAGGTGTTTTTGCCCATTTGTTTTTTCACTTCAAAATAAGACATGTGTGGTGTGCATAGGAATTTGTTCATAGTTTTTTTTAAACTATAGTCCAGCCCTTCAATGGTCTGAGGGACAGTGAACTGGCCCCCTGTTCAAAAAGTTTGAGGACCCCTGCTCTAGAAGTTCCTTCTCCTTCTAACACGGATGTGTCAAATATTGATAAACTTTAATCGATTAAAGAAATCATGCCAAGGAGTTTTTTTTTGGGGGGGTGTCTATTTCCCAAGTTCTTGTCTATGCTTTGGCTAGGTAAGGTTGCTGAGTAAGTGTTTTTTAAAAATTTTGGTTTTTTTTTTTTTTTATAAAGTATGTATTTCCACGCTACTAAGTTAGGAAATTCCATCTCTTGAAGATAAAAATCTTTTTCTGAGGATTGCATTTCACAAGCATCAGGGCATCACTGTTGCTTAAAGCTAGCCTCCTGGAGTAGATTCACATGTCTCTGGCTCATTTTTCCTAAACTAGGCATTTGGGATCTTGCCCAATTTGCTTCAGGGTTGGACAAAATGAAGCCGGGTAAGGAGGGTGTGACATCACTTTTGGAAGAGATATATTATTGTTAATAGCCTAATACTACTTTGTTCTAGCTTGCTAACTCAGTGCTATGGAGCCAGATAAATTTAGCAATGAGAATTTCCCCCTCGACTTGTTTCCATGACAGAGTCTGGGACATTTTTAGCTCAGCTGAATTAAGTAAGGTCTATAGTAAAGGGGACATTCTAGAATGGAATTTTCCCACTTATGGATGATATATTGTAATCACCCACTCATGGAATATAGAAAACAGAACTTTAAAAACTGATGAACTTCTTTGGAATATTTGAGCAGAGAGCAAAGTAATTTGGTTAGCCCATTGCTTTGGTGCTGTAGCCTGAAACTCATGGAATCTGGATAGGGTCTGACCCAACTGCCCAGTGAAAATGATAACTTGGTACCTGCTTTGGAAGAGCTTTCTAGTCAGTTTCAGAGATGGGGCACATGTAGCAGAAAGAGCCCTGGTCCCTTGTAAGCTCACACATGTCCCTTCCTTAAGTCAGGGCTGGGAGGATAGAGGAGGCACTCAGGTTCTTACGGTACAGGGTTCTGACGCTCACTTACTTGGCTTGTGCCAACACTCCGATGACTTCTGCATATAGGTCTGCCACAATGTGCATATTGCCAGTGTTAGGACCAAGGTACCTAAGCAAAGTATAATTACACAAGTTAGAGATCCCTGGTCACTTGAAAAAAGATAACCATTGATTTGGTTTTAAGCACCCATATTCTTCAATATTCAAAATCACCTTACCCTTCTTTGTATTTAAAGTGCTTGAAAGCCAAGTTAATAACATCATGTATTAAACTGTCTATTACAGGATGAAGTGGAATCTGAAAAAAAAAGACAGCTCTTAATTTGGAAGGGAATATTAAATAATGACTCAGTAACAGTACTTCCAATCACTATATATGACAATCAGTAGCAATCAATAAACATAATTCATATGACCCAGTATTTGGAATTCATAAACAATTCAATAAACTTAGACATTCAAAATTTTAGTTTTTAGAATAAATGTTACCTAAAAGTAACAATAAATTTTCTACCTACCTGTTTCAAAACTTCTATTAATACTAAAGAAAAAATAAAATCAATGGCAAGGTCCCGTCTTTCCATCAAATAATCTCGCTGTTGTTCATCGCTGTAAAATTTAACATATTCACATTAAATGGCACTGAAGGTATTCTCAGAGTGACATAATTCATCAAAAATCCAGGACTCCTCCCCATTAGAATGTAAACCCATTTTATCATTACAAGAGTACAGTGGTAAATACATGCTAATGCTCTTTCTATTACTAACGTAGTGCAGTGGACAAACATTGGATTTGAAGTCAGCATATTTAACTGCAAATTAAAAATTTTCAACCATGTTAACTTGAGTAGCTATTTGTGAGTCTAGAACCTCATCTTGTGGACCTTTCCAAGGTAGTTTTGAACCCAGGAGTTCTATCATCTTGTATATGTGACACACACTCGAGAAAGCTGTCGTACTAGAGGTGAACATCCAAAGTATCTTGGGAAAGGAGTG